ATGACATTAGTCCGCGCGACCCGCGCGCGTATAGCTACCGAGGGATCCCCGCGAGGGGCTCGGAAAGCTAGCGCCGTTACACCAGGAGCGATGGGAGCAAATTACCATGGACTTAATTGCAGTCCTGACTACCTGAAACCACTCGAGGAAATTCCGGCATTGCTGTTTTCGTCGACCGCTTATCGAAAGAAATAAAAATCGCACCCATATCTGATGACACGACCGCCCCCGCCATCGCTCGTGTATATTTTGATAACGTATTCCGTCATAAGGGACTGTCGCGCGTGATCATTTCTGACAGGGACCCTCGGTTTACTTCTAACTTTGGCGTACCCTTTTCAGGCTCCTTGGTACCAAGCTCTCCACGCGCTCGGTTTGACCGTCGGTTTGGGGGTGGAAGGCGGTTTTAGGGTGAAAACCCTAAAACCCTAAAACCCCTAAAACCCTAAAACCATAAAACCGAGCGCGTGAACCGGGTCATCGAGGAAGCCCTCCGACCCTACGTCAACGCCCGACACTCTGACATTGATCTATACCTAACAGCTATCGAATTTGCCTATAACAACTCGGTCCAACTCTCTACCAGCCACTCCCCCTTCTACCTCAATACCGGTCCACACCCCCTCACACCCGCCAACCTACTAAAACCACCTTCCTCCGATACACCCGCCGCCGATCAATTCCTGCACAACATCGCCTCCTCCCTACAAACGCCAAAACCCTCCTTGTACTCGCCCAAAACCGCCAAAAACAGTACGCCGACCAGCGTCGCCGCCCGCTTACCTTCCAACCCGGCGACCAAGTCTATCTATCCACCGCCCATCTGTCGCTCTCCACCCGCTCCCAAGTCCGCAAACTCGCACCCAGGTACACCGGGCCATTCACCGTACAACAAACCATCTCAGACGCTGCGTACAAACTCGACCTACCCGCCCACATGGCAATCCACCCCGTTTTCCACGTATCCCAGCTAAAACCCTACCATCCAAACGACCCGACCCGCTTCACCGACCGAGACCCACCACCACCTCCTCCGGTACTCACCACAGACAATCCCCAACACCCTATTGACAGTGTTGTGGACGAACGAACCGTCGGCCGCGGTACCCGGCAGCGCACCCAGTACTTAGTCACCTACCGAGACCAGCCCTTCCACGAGGCCCAATGGGTCGACGCCCACCTAGTAAATTTAAACCCCAGCAACGAGGACGTTGCTATTACTTAAGGGGGGGACTGCTGTAACACGTGGATCTTTATTAAACATTTATAGCCGTAGATATACGGATAGACTTGATCAGATTATTCCGATGATTTGCATGTTTCCCCCTATAACGGTAACATGATCTTATAAATAAATACTCGATTCCTATTGGTTGCGCAAGATGAGCTTAGCTTAAGGTAAGCTCATCTTAGCAACTGAGCTGCACACAATAATACTAAGACTACTCTATAGACTATACTTACAGACTGAGCTCATGCGAGCACAGTGGCAGCTTGGGTCAAGCTACAAAAGTGGATTTCTCCACTTGTGGACCTCATTCGCTAGACCCCGGATTGAGGACAACTTTCATCTTTAGATCTTTCTCAACTCTACACTAGCTCTCTCCGCATCCACTGTAGAAATCAGGATCCCTTATATAGCTCAAGGGAGCTCCCGATTACAATGTTGACCACCCGAGTCGCGGATCATCTGCCGGTCTCTCTATTGCCGACGCTTCGAGAGACGGTTCTTGAACCCCATAGCAAGACAGCTCAAAGACTAAACCAAAATTCCATATGAAAATCATAAGCGATTGGGGCGCTTTCAGCACATGAAACGGTCGCGCGGAGATGGTATGCCATGTACTACGTACATGGTATGGTACTACGTACATGATGTACTACGTAGCACACGATTCAGCAAGTGTGTGCATGGACTCTGGAGGCTGCTCGAAAAGTAGCAAAGTGAAGCCCACGCCGCCAAGGATCTTGTGGAAGAGAAAAGCGCCAGGTTTCTTCTGAAAGAGAGCTAGACCAGAAGCACGTTCGCGAAGCTGCTAAGCTGATCTTATCTCGCAGCATTGCGCGCTCGAGCGCTCTCTGCCAAAATGTCCCTCTCGTGTTCCCTCAAGAGCTGCTCAAGCATCCAATCCGCAGCGCCTTTGAAACCGGCAGCAAAGACGAGGCAGCAGCAGCACTCGCCATGTTCTAGCAACCCTTCCTCCCAGCGCATCACTTGCAAGCGATATCCAGGTGCTCTGCTGAGCTTGCCACTGAAGAGAGGGGCATTCTTGGGTTGTACCGTGACTCTACATAGCACTCATGATCAGCAATCCAGCATTAGATCCCCTCAGCGCGGCGTCAAGGGTCAACACAGGAAGGTACCAGCTGCCAAGCTGACACTAGAAAAAGAGACACAGACGCAAGCAAAGCATGGGGGTGAGAAAGAGGGGCTCGAGCTGCCCCCCGGATCTCTGGGCCTGCCAATCATCGGCGAGACGCTTGAGCTCATTAGAAGTCTGAATCCTGAGAACCCCGATGCGTTCTCGGGCCCGCGGCAAGCCAAGTATGGGAGGATCTTCAAGTCAAACGCGCTCGGGCGCAACTTTATCACTGTATCGGGGCCCGAGGCTGCAGCCCAAATCTTGACAAACGGTTAGCGACTTGACAGATCAGCGACTCTCGGATCCTCATCTTGGGTTCTCCTTGCTGGTACTACATAAAGAACAATCTGTTTTGGGGAATAGCTTCCTCTCTTGCTTCCTGGATTATTTCGCAGAGTTATTGTGGCTCATCCTAGTGGCTCCATTTTTTAAGTGGCTCATTGGCAAATTTTCAAAGATCGCTCTCCTTGATCACATTGTTTCGATCATTTACCTAGAAGGTACTTTTGTCTTGGACAAGCTTTCCCATCAAGTGCGGCAACTAATGAGACCAGTTTTATTCACAAGCTTTTTCCTCTGGTTGCAGAGAAGCTGTACGCCACTGAATGGCCACAATCATTTAAGCCCCCAATCGGCGAGCATGCGCTGTCCATGACAAACACGCTCTGATCAAATATCCATAAGAAGTATCGGTCTCAGTAAGCAGTTTCAATCTTTGCAGAGAGACTAGTTGTCACTGAATGACTGAGATTCTTCGAGCGCCTCGTTGCCTAGCCCTCGAACTTTCAAATGAATAACCATAGTCTCCAATTCCAATGAGCGCCTTCTCATTTGCAGAGAAACTGTATGCCACTGAATGGCCGCGGTCTTTCAAGCCCCTCATCGGCGAGCATGCGCTGTCCATGACAAACGGGCCGAAGCACAAGTATCTACGCGCACTGATAGCCAACCCCCTGAGCTTGGAGAACCTGAAAACGTACGTGCCTCTCATTGAGAGAGCGGTGCTGTCGCTCCTGGACTCTTGGCAGGAAGATACGATTCTGAAGGCGCATCAAGAGATGAGGCGGGTAAGGGCGACAATACATACATGCTCATAGAGAGCCTAACCCTCATCTGTCACTTGCTTCATTGATATGTCAAGAGATCGTGGCGTGAGCGATTCTATAATCTCCCTGACTTTCAAGATAGCGTGGACCGGCCAGAAGCGTTTGGCTAACAAGATCTGCCCGACCCTAGACCAGATTTCAGTGCCAAATTCTGATTTATTGTGCGCAAGATCATGCGCCATGTCATGTGTAGACGCATGGAGGTTCGTTATGTAGCAATGTAGCAATTCCTTGAATGATCACTTTCAGGCCCCAAACGCGTGTCTACGACAAGATTCTCCCGAGTAATAGTTTTAGAGTCGGCTAAAGCCAATTCCTAATCCCATGTTGTCTCACAATGCTGTGGTCTACTCTCTTCTGAATTACAGGCCCCTTCAGGGGCTCTTTCTCAACGATCTCGTCTATCCTGTGTGCAGTTGACATTCAACGTCATCTCAGAGCTGATCTTTGGCGCAAAGCCTGGACCCCAGACGGAGCGGCTGTCGGGTCACTTTGACGTGTGGGTGCAAGGCCTGGCTGTGCTAATCCCCATCGACCTCCCCTTCACAAAGTTCGGGAAATCTATGAAGGTGGGTTGGAATCTGGCAGAGGGCATGAGTGACAAATGACGAGATGTTTTCAAGCCCGTCGAGCCTGTTATCACTGGTTGCTGACTGCAAACAAGCTTTTGATATGCAGCGTTTGAATCTTTGCCCAGATTGCGAGGAGCTCCTTATTTTCAGTGCGCTTCTGGTCCGCTCTGTCCAGAGACCATTCGCTAGCTGGGAGCTGGTGCATGGGACCCGGATTTAAAGATCGATCAATCAATCAATTGATGATCGTAACGTCTCGTAGGGGCCAGGGGAGGCTCATGAGACAAGTAGACATGAGACAGATAGAAGCGGGACCTGCGAGGGTCGGGCCTTGCCCTTAAGCTCCGATGAAAGCCTGGAGCATCTGTCTTTATCTGCTATGGTGCGCTGTCGATCAAAGCTGCTTAAAGCGGTGATTAAGCGTCCCACCGCCAGAGGGTTATGTCTGACCCCTGCTTTAGCAGCCCCCTGACAGATGCATCAGAACATACTCGTCTCCTAACCAGATTTGGTTATTTAAACCTCACGTGTCTCGCTCAGGCACGCCGAGCCATCTTATCCGAGGTCGCCCAGATTGTGGGCGAACGCCGCACAGCGCTGAGAAATGGCGAACCCGTCCCTAACGACATCCTAACCCGGTTGCTAACCGAAAAGGACGCGGAGGGGAGGCAGCTTACGGAGGTGGAGCTGTCGGACAACCTCCTTAACCTGCTTTTCGCAGGTACGTTTCGCAGGGAGAGTCTGGCCCTAACCGGAGTCGGTTATTGTTAGCCTGCTTTTCTAGGACATCATAACAGGGTTAGGTACGAGAATCAGACCTTTCGTTTTCACAAAGTTGAGCATGGCTCGCTTGGCTTGTCAGTACTCGAGCATGATCTTGTCGTTGTGACGTTGAACCTTTTCGCATGACGTGTGTTAAGAGCTGGAACGTATGCCATCGGACTTTTCGGCTGCGCCAAAAACGGTACTTTTACAGCGTCCAAGGTGGTTCGGTCTTTCAATCGTTTTACAGGCCACGACACCAGCGCGAGCAGTTTGTCCATCATCATCCACTCTCTAGGGAGCCGTCCCGACGTCCAGCAGAAGCTGCGGGTGAGCCGAGCGTTCCTCGCTCGCAACTTTTCGAGCTACCATATGTCAACGTATACCGCAGTCTCGAGCTCTTGGCTTCGAGTGCGGCTTTCCCTTGCAAATTTGCAAGGAAAGCGTCCCTTGAATCGAGAAATGAATAACAAGGAGGGTGAAGCAAGTAAAGCCACACATGTACGCTCAAAGAAGTCAATCATAAATTCCAGGAAACGTACGAAAATTGAGTATTGAATCGTCCGCGTGTGTCGCCAGTCTCGAGTGCCATCGCCTTCTTGGAGATTTGTACGAAGCCGTATCGGTTCCGACGGTCAGGTCATGATCAAGGCGCAATTCACCGCTTCAACTCTGGAAGCTTGCCGCCAACTTGTCTCAACAGTAAAAATATACAACGGGAGGATTCAGACAAAAGGATGGTATGCCGAACTTCTTCTTAATACTGATCACGCAGGACGAGCATGCACGCATCAGGAGCGGCAAGGCAGCCGGCGAGCCGCTGACGTGGCAGGACGTCCGCCAATTGGCGTACACGGATCAGGTGAGGGGACGTAACCATTCTGCCCGGCACGTGTAATGTCCGCCGACATATCTGCTGACACGTCAGGCGACTGGGCGCCGGAGTTATTCTTGGGAGGGTTGTCAATATGGTATAACGAGGGAGCGCAGCGAAAGTTGGGCGAAATCTTCACTGAACCTGGCCGAGATTGTTCTCATCTTGCAACCCTGAGGGACTTTGAAACTCAGAGCGCTGAAAATTGCTTGTATGAAACGACCCAGTATCACGGTTGTCACCTCTGCTGAGGCTGCGGGAGTTTGCTTTGTTTCTTCTTGATTTGGATCCATCTTCCGCTAAGCATTCTGCGGTATTCGCTTTCAATCTCTATCAGAGATCTTCCAAAGCCCAAAGTTGGTCTGTGCGCGAATCCTACCGAAAACCAACTGCAATCCTCCCCTTCTTTGAATGCACCGTTCGATCGAGGGTGTGCGGTTGCAAGCCTTTTCTCTCTGTTGGTCAAATCGGGTCAGGTTGCTCCATGCACCCTCAAGCCATCTTTCAGGGCCTACGACTGCTTCGTTTATTTCCAATTGTACCAATTTCTTTTTTACATTCTATTATTGACCAGGCTCCTCATCCCTAAACTCAAATTTCACGTGAGTGTTTCTGTGGCTCCTACAGCGCTTACCCTTTCTCAGTACAGAGTTCCTTTGGTATTGCCTTCCAAGATTTCAATACTTTTTTTATATATTTTCTTCCTTACGGCTCCTGGTTAAAGTTGGTTTCCTCTCTCTACTTGCAGGTCATCAGCGAGGGCCTGCGGCTGCGGCCAATTGTCGGGAACGCATTCAAGGTGGCCACGGAAGACACGACAATGTACGGCTACCGCGTACCCAAGGGCTGGTCCGTCAACCTAGACTACCGCGCCGTCATGTGCCGCGACTCGTACTTTCCCGAAGCGGACCAGTTCCGGCCGGAGCGGTTCGACGTGAGTGAACGGAATGAACGGGGATACGGAACCTACGATCTGCTGAGGCGACGATTTGTTCGAGTTTTTGTGCGGAAAATGTTGCCGTGGCAGCGACAGACGTTTGCACGCTCTTGTGCGCGCTCTTTTTCACCTCAATCCGATGCCAGAAGTCTAGGAAGAGTTTGCAAGTTTTCTTTCAGAATAGAGTCGAAAATTCACTCAGATCATTCTGTCAGCTTTTGAGCGTGTGCTTGGCACTTCGCACCTTTATGCTGAGGGAACTCCATGCAAGAAAGTTAGCGAAAAGACATCCGGAAAGAATACTCGACCTATCAGCTCTGTTTTAATCGCCCTCCGCTTTACAATGCAGGAGAAGCTCAAGCCATACACGTTCCTTCCGTTTGGAAGTGGTGAGTCGTGCTGACCTGAACCGGTATTTTTTTCCTCGGGTTCTTCCTTTTAGCACCTGCAGTCTCCATCCTCTCAGACTTCGACAAGAGTTTGCCTCATGACCACAGAGGGATTGTGCGTTTGATGCCGTGTCTTTGCCTCGTTTCTTGTGGCGAAAGGAGCGGCTTGTTAGCTGCCCCGGTTTTGCTGCTCTCAAGTACGTGAATTTGCCCGACTGGATTCGATGCTGAATGATGTGCTGCAATCCACACGCGCGCTTCTCCCTGATACAGCGGGTCTTTTATCTGTCCTTGTTTCGGTGTCCAGGTGAGCGGCAGTGCCCGGGGAGCGCGCTCGCTCGGATGGAGATGACGGTCTTTCTGTACCACTTCTTGCACCTCTGGGAGTGAGTTTGCTCTTGGTTTCCGTTGCGCCACCATTTTCCTTATGCTTGCGCCACCCTTCTTTCACCTACTGCCTTTACTTAGCCTTCATTATGGCGCTACGAAACGGACTCGTTCAGATACCTCCACGAAGTTCTGAGGTGGACGATAAATTTTAATTGTCGGCTGAATGTCTGCTTAATTTGCTTACTTTATCACGCTGTTGAAATTATGGCGGATGTGAAGCGAGAAACTCTCTTACGTAGATGGCTGATTCAACAACGTGCAAGAGAACCAGGTATCTAGTTGAGTAAACAACTAATCTTTCAGGGCGACTCGCTGCTTCTTTATTAAAGCCGCAGCGTTGATCTTTCATGATTTAAACTTTCGAGTGGCTTTCTTTCTTGCAGCTTCGAGCTCACAAATCCATCGGAGGAGACTGTCTTTGTCCCCATGGTGCGGCCGAAGGAGGGCCTGCCGCTGAAACTCCGGCGACGAGTTAACTTTCAGTGACGTGGCAGCTCGACGCTCATTTTCCGGCGTGAACGGAACTTATAGGAGTAAAGCAAAGGAGGTCATATCTCATGTACCGTAGTAGCGTTGCGTTACTGTAGAGCTGTGAAGTTACCATAGTTCTCGTGGTTCACGGACTCATCTCGATAGATGGCAGAGAAGGGAACAGGTGTCTTCAAGTTGCGAGCCCTGATCAGACGTCGTCGACCTGTACAACATTCTTTCTAGAACGCACGCATACATTGTTTGATCTGGACAAAATACTGGACATATTGTCCGCGCGCCACTTGTCAGTGATCAAAAAGCTCTGTAAAGCCGCACAGAGAAAATCATGTAAGTACGCTTTAGGAAGTAGTATATACGAGTTTGCAAAACAGCAAGCGACTTAGCAGAAGCTCTTTTGTACTGACGGAACGCTAGCTAATATAGTGATCACACATCTGAGGATGTGATGCCGACCTTATAATTTGAATTATTTGGATATTTGATTTATTCTCTTCTGAGTATGAAGCGGTGTTCAGTTACTGAGTAGCATGGACACTGAACTGTGCGGCGACTAGTCGGCTCAGCATTGTGCACGCCGTGCTGCAACTCGGGCGCCTTTCGCATGCCTTGCGCATCATTGTTGGACTTTGCGTACGGTGAGGCCCAACCGTTGGACTAGCTTGAGCATATCATTGTATCATTCCAATACTTTGATGCCGCGGATCTGGAGTTCACGTATAGTTGTGTATACATGCCATGCAGCCAGCAGGCTGGATTGTACATGCCGCGCGTTTACAGGCGGCGCATGCACACATGCATCCCACAATTGTGACACACGAAATAGAACGTTTCGATTGTGGCTTTTCAATATTTGCGATGAAGTGCATCATCAGAGTCATGGCATATCATCATGCACCCGGGCCACCCGCCCCATCCGACATGCAGCCTCGTGCTCAGGCCATGATCTCTAAGGGTGGGCCCCAGAGGATGCAGCCGCAGAGCGAGGAGGGGACTACTGCTTCTCAACCTTGTTGATCCGACATGATTGTTCAACTGATTCAGTACTTACATACTCAACAATCCTCCATGCTGGCTGGGCACTCGGTGTAGACTTGCTCCACGTTGCTGGCTGTCATTTTGGTCAAGGCCATTTGCGAATCTTCCATTGCGATAGCGAAGCGCTCTTGAAGCTTCGTACAAAAAACTTATCAAAACCGCCTCTTTAAGTGGCTACAAGCCACTTTGGAAAAACTCGTTCCTCAGATTGCTGTTTATCTCTGCCTATACGGAAAATAAACCTCGTTTTTCAATGTACAGTTGCAGTTTGACCGGTCACAACCACAGATCTCATGTTACATCAATCGTGTGATGATCAAAGTATTCACTCTCTTACTGACTCCCCTATTAGTTCGCCCAATGCTGCACATACACAGAAGGCTTCACTAACTTGTTCGGGCTTTAAGTAGTCAGTCATGTATGCCCAAATCATGGGGCAGATTAGGCACTGCTCAAGGGGGCCACAAGCTTCACAGCAAACTACCCTGATTGTTCAGTGCAACTCACCTGACCCTTCCGATCCACTTGCAAAGACTAGGCAATGTCTGTGTCGTCAAAATCGTCCTCAAACTCTGCAAGGATGCAGAAAAGCTCTGTCTTCAGTTTTGAGTTGACTTACTCTGACAGCCAAAATAAATAATTGATTTGTTCCTGGCCGAGTTAAGCCATTGAAATTGTTCCTGATCGAAGGCAGAAGTGTTCTGCTTGAAGGGTCAATCAGCACTGTTTACCTTAGCCCATTGTTCCTTCCTTAGAAGCAAGCCAGCAGGGAACAAAATGCACTTTTTAAGTGACATTTTCCTTGCGTTATCTGTAAATAGCACAGTGGACTCAACGCAAAGGACGTCCAACTGTCAACAAACCCAGGACGCAGGCCCGTGTCTCTTTGCTCAAAAAGAAATCCAGGCGACACTCCCCCTCGCTGCCACCCCTACTGAGAGGTCCAGTCAAACCAAGGCAACTTTGGTGGCTCATTCGCGCGATTCCAATCCTCCTGACTTGCAGACCACACGCCCAAGCCAGTTACATGCGATCGAACTTTGACATGGCCTCAGCCATCAGCCTCTATCCACTAAAGAGCATAGACGCTCACTGTTGTAAAAGTCTGCGTCCACATGCTTTTCCGTGGGGTGCCCGTCCACTGTGTCCAATTCCATGTCCCCGTCCCCATCAAAGTAGTTCTCTGAGTCAACGTCAAAGCTCTGGGGCATCGGTTGCTTCATCTTTGCGTCCCTAAACTCCTTGAAGCCCGCAGCGATGCTTCCAACGTTTTCCCGGTCCTTGCTCCATTCCTTCCCGAATGCATCCTTGCCAAAATTAGACATTGCTACAACAGACCTTTTCCCCTGCACCCTCAGCAACTCTAAGAGGAGCCTCACACTGCCAAAATCCTCCAGCCCGCCCACTTTTAAGAGCAAATATACCGTAGTTTGCCAACCCCTGCAACTTGCAAGCTTTCTCGCCGCCCTTGACTCCCTCTGCCTCGCGCCTTAGAAGTTTCTGCCCTGGTGCTGGCTAGCTCTTTTACTGTACACAAAAGTACAGGATCATAATGGGACGGTGGGGGGGGTATTCTTCCTGCAGGGTGGGAAAGGACGGTTCTTTCAGACGGAATAATTCTTTTAGACTAAGACAGGGCCGGTTTACAGGGCCGGTCATTGCAACGGCAGCAGCCTTGAGCCCCCTACAAAATACAGCTTCGTACAAGGGCGCGCGCGCGGAGCGGGCTACTTCTTGAGCTTCTTGAGCTATCACCGACTCCTGAGCCTGACGCTGCTGCATCATGCACTGATCCCGTGCCTGGGCAGAAACTAAGCTTTTAAACGCGATTGTTGGGTACGGTACTTCGTGACACTGTTCTGCAAAAGCTGACAGCAAGCGCTGGCAAAGCTGGATAAACATCTCAACATCTTGAATTGCAAGCAGCGAGTTGAGCGGCAAGCTTTTCTTTCTGCATCCTATATTTGCACCAGTTAAGGCCAAGCATGGCGATGTCCCAGCTCGCAAGCACACGCTGCTTGACTGTCGCTGTGGGGCCTGTCACCAGCAGTGCAGGGAGGATATCCACCAACTCTGCTGCAGGGCCCCTTCTGCCGTCAAGGCGTAATCCATGCAGACAGCAGTTGCGCAGAGCTGCCCCCTTGTTCGTCTTAGACTTGCCTACAGGAATGCAAATGCATGAGGTGTCACAATTGGGCAGACGGCAGCAAAGTGTGCGCTGTGCTGCGCACAAGGAACTGAGTGTCACACTGGACTCGCCAAAGGTGAACGAACGAGCTGGCCTTGGCAGTTCGATGGAACAGGCCGGCGGTGACCCGGGCGATGTCTACTTTGCTAAGGACAAGCGGCCAGTCATTCTTTTTGACGGTGAGCCGCGAGAGAGGCCTTCTCCTTCTGAGCAAGGAGCATTGAAGCTTGCTGTTGCAGGAATGTAACGTATGAGGGTAGGGCAATAACAATCTGCCACAAAGGGCCCTTGTCTTGAACCTGAATTTTCAATGAGCCCTTGTATTTCAGTTGGGGGCCAGCTCAGTCAAAGCTGAGAAAGGGATGCTGACTGCATGCAAATGCATGTGAAGTTTACCCGTTGAGGTTGGGGCAGATGCAATCATCCTGTGGACTTCTCAGAAGGAGTTTCTTGCTGGATGCAACTTGGTCAGTCTTATCTGCATGCACGGCAAGTTGTGGCCGGTTGTGCAGAGTTTTGTCACTTCAAAGCTTCACCTGAATTGTGCCCTGGGCTTACTCTTAGAAACAGTACAATCCTGATGAAGGCCCTTCTCAACAAAATTTTGCACAGTTGGTCGTGCGTTTTCCTGTTGCTTAATCTGACAGTTTCTGCCAAAATTGTAACGATCTACATGCTTTGCTTGCAGGTGTATGCAATCTGTGCAACAATGGTGTCAACTTCATGCTTGATCATGATCCTAAGGGGTAAGTCCACAATCCTTAGTAACTCTACTTGCTAGAGACCTTGTTTAGCCATGTTAATTCACTATTTTTCTACCCAAATCTACAGGGAAGCTTGTGTCGAGCCACCTTGAGCAAGTGAGAGTACACAGCCTTCAATCACCAAACAAAGCCCCCCGCCTTTGTCAAGATTACTTGTGCTGGAATGGGGCCTATGTCCTGCCTTGAGTAAAAAGGTTCTCGTTTGGGTTGGGGCCTTAAATCAATTCAGGAGTACCTGTCTGGATTGCGGCTCACATTCCCTGGCATGAGTGACAGGAGGAAAACCTTGTGGTAGAGATCAGCTTTCACCTGCTTTGGGTTTCTGCTGACCGCAAGCTCCTCTTCTGGACCCTTTTTTCCAGTTCCTGGTCAAGACGGTCTGCATGTGAACCTTACGTTGATCATCTCAGGCAGACTGGCTTCTTCATTTTCTCAACTGCCTGCCTCGTGTGCAGGAATCTGCGCTTCTCGGCGCTCCAGAGCGAAGCGGGACGGGCGCTCCTGCGCCGTGCGGGTCGGGACCCCCAGGACATCACCAGCATCGTCCTGGTGGAACCAAACAAGTGAAGACTCTGAACTCTTGGCTAGCGTTTTGAAGTCGACAGAGTTATTTGGACCTCTGAATGGAAACGACACTGTCTTTGAAAGTCTTTACTTTTACAGAAGACCTGGTGTTTCTAGCTTCCTCATTCTGAACGTGGTATAGATGCTGAAGACATGGAAGTGGCTTTGTGAGTATATCCCTCAGCCTCTACAGCTTGAACGCCGCTTGGGTAGATTTCTTGGATCCGAGCGGGTCATTGACGTCATGAAAGAGCGTTATGCACGTGAGCAGCGCAATCAGAGTTGTGTCAGCTTTAACTCATGTTTGAGTTGCGGGTTGCGGATTCAATTTTGCCAACAGATCCAAGGAAAGGTGTTCTTGCACAGGTTGACAATGTTTTCTCGTGATACATCCAGGTGCTACATTCGCTCCGAGGCAATACTGCACATTGCGCAGTACTTGCACCAGCCGCTGATTGCTTTTGGACATCTCGGCCTGATCGTACCTGGGTGAGTGTCGCTGCTGGTGAAGCCTAAGTCTAATTGAGCGAGTCGGTGAAACCTCTTTTTACGTGCCGCTTCTTGAAGCTCTCTAATCTGTTCTTTAAGACCAGGACCTGAACGGTTCTACCAGGACCTATTTCTAGAACCGTTCTTTGCTGTTCGACAAGATGTCCCGCCAAGCAAAGCGCTACGGATTATTTTTGAAAAATTCTAAGCCCGCCCTGTAACTCCCGATACCCATCATTTCTCAAGCACGACTCACGCAAGATCTGTTACGTCTTTGGATCAGGATAATATGTTAATCTGCAAGCTTCTCCAATGCGTTTTAAAGTTTCTCGCCCACTGATGCAGGTTTTTCCGGGACAAGTTCTACAACCTGATTGCTTACAACCGATACAGCATCATGGGCAAGCGGAACATGTGCCGTATTGGAGATCAACGATTTGTTGATAGGTTTGTTAGCTAAGTTCGCTCGGTTGCCAACATCGGAAAGCCCTATTGTTGGGGTGTGCCAAGACGGAGAGATTCAGTGTATACATAGGTGGCGTTTTGTGTGATAAAGTGCGGTCTTCTTGGGTTGTGTAATTAGGTTGACTTACGCGAGTTGGGTTACGCGAATGGATTTCAGGGACATTGAGAGCACGCATAGGGTTCCCCTCGAGGTCAGATTCATGCACGCAAACAAAGGTAGCGTGTCCAGATTGAATGTCAGATCTAAATAGAGTGCTTGTGGTTGATTCAGTGAGTTGTTGAGTCTAGCTGTTATAAAACCGTAGATTTAGTGCATGCTTAAGTTGCCCGCACTTCTCTAGCGCGCTCCATTTGATCAGCCGTCGGTGACTCTACATTGAAGACAGAGGTTGGCTAGCTCATTTCAGATTGCTTGAATCTAGTTTGTGTCTGTGGTGTAACCTAGGTTGATGTTTTGTAAAGATCATTTTGATGTGCTGTGAGGCTGATTTAATGAGCACGGTTGGCTTGCGTCCAATCTATTTGGAAAGATGTCGCGGTTCGCTCTCCCAAAGCCAAGCGCACAGGTTCTTGTGCGTTATATCTGAAGAGCTGGCGCCTGAGTTGAACTAGTCCTGCGGTGAAGTGGACGTTTCGAGTGTTGTCGCGGAAGATTCCTCAACAACCTGATCGGCAATTACCTCTGGAACGTCGAGTGCAGTATGTCACGGCATGCCGTGCATTTAACTTGAAGCAGACTGTACCTGTGGACTGGGACTACGAACTTTTGCACGAGACTCAAGCGCGGTATACCACTGCTGTTTTGGTTGTTGCCAGGCCTTACAGCGTCACTGTCATGCAGAATAAGTAAACATTACATTCTTATGCTGCATAAATACGCCCATACTGGGGGCAAATAGATTGTCGCAAGCAACGGCCCGAGTCTCGTTGCATGCATGCGCATCGAGATTTGAAACGACTGTATTTGCATGCAAGAACTCGAATCTTCACGTATCATCACGACGCGCACTCTTTCATTCTATTCACTAAAGCTTACTCAAGGGCGCGTCCAATTCTCAGCATGCGTGATAATTCAATACCGTTACATTCGATCCAGCGTGACGTACTGTACTAGTTAGCAGCAAAACCATTGGATTTTGTGTACAAAGTCGTGTAGTAAACGCATCACCGATCACAACTCGCTCTCTTCAGCTCTTTGTCTCGAGCCTAAAATTGTCTCGCACCTGTACAACAAATTGCATGCAGTGCAATTTTTCTAAAACACAAACTCAAAAACGACGGCCCATCGTCCTCGGAAAATGAACAACTCGCGCAAACACACTGTAATGTCCTGATTAATGACACAATACCACTGATCAATTTGATAACCAACGCGTCATGCAGCTGCCGCAACCGGAAAACGCTATTTCAACAATTGAAAAACACTGTACAAATGCGCGCAAAATGAACGACTACAACCCAAGTCAACTCAACTAGCGCCGAGAGCCCGCCTTCTCCCGTTGCTTCTCCTCGCTCTTGTCCTCTTCGCTCTTGTCCGCTTTTGGGAAGCCTCCTGCCTCGTACTGGTCTTTCGTCGGCTGGCCGACTTTAATATTGAACGTATCGATTACACGTTTCGCCATGGGAGGATCTTGCACGATCCACAGGCGAAGGCCGACGTCGAGCACCTCGGGGGCGAGTGCCCGGTAGACCCCGAGCATGTTGTACCAGACTGGGAGGATAATGTCGTGCTTCTTGTACCGGGCGGCCTTGACAGCGTCCCGGGCCATCATGGCGGTCGGGACAATGGGGTAGAGCCCCAGTTGCTCCTGCAAAAGGATCAGCAGTGGAAAGAATCAGAGAAAACAAAACGATGCCAGATAGAAGGTCTCCTCGGTTTAACTGCCGACTCGGATCTGGGCAACGAGTCGTTGGCTGCCAGCAAGAGAAGCTATTGACTAGTTGGAACGAGGAGTCCGCTGCGTGTGCTAGAGTGTGTATCTCATTTATGTGGACACTCAGCACTTATATTTGAACAGTTCGCTGCACACAGTGATTGCCTCAAACGTCACAGGTATCCCTACCCGAAGCGCGCAATCAGGTTGAGAGTCTGGGCGGCAGCTTAAGTGCCGAACGACAAGGGGCAGAAGTCGGCACTTCTACTCTTGTGGATCACCACCTTCGACCGTTTTAGCAGCAGCACCCTTCTTGCGCACCTTCTGCGATAGAAGGGTCCAGCGCGCAAGCTATGAAGCGGACTTCACCCTGCGCTAGACTGGGGATGCGATACTGTGACGCAAAAAACCTGAATCCAAATCCGTCGTTCCCCTGGAACCTCCAACCCTGAGATTCCCACATCTTAGAAACCAGTTTTGCCTGGAACATGGTTGACAATAGAGTTTCTTTGACCGCCGCTCCACCCCCTCGCTTTTCCTCGCTTCTTGTCCCGTTCGGATATATTTGTAGGAGAGAGCATAATAATCAGGTCCGTTTCAACATCAGACTAAACAGTTCAAACGAGTACCACAAAGTTAGAACAAAAACCTCTTATGACACGCCGACAAAACAGCGACACCCTCTCGAACAACTACGTTTTTTGCGCTCAAATGTTACTCACATTTCTAAGATCTCGTGCCTTCTCCGGCCCGGGCACTTTCCCCTCGGCCTGCGACATTTTGCCGTCGGAAAGCTCGCTCTTGGTGACCCCGGGGGAGAAGATGGTGATCGGTACGCTATCCCCGAGCTCGATGCGGAGAGTGTGGAAAAAGTTGGTCACCGCGGCCTTGGATGCCTGCGCGCCCGGAACACAAGGCCGGGTTAGGGAAACTGTTCAGGCAATGTCAATGTGGGGTTAAGAAAGCCGCGCGCTGGGAGATACTGCCGGGTTAGGACACCGCCTGGGAGACACAACCCGGTTCCAAAACTTGCCCGGAAACACGCCCGGGTTAGTAAAACTGGCCGGATTAAGAGGAGATTCTCGGGAGAAACGGCCGGGTTGCGAAACTGCCCGGGATTGCATTCGGGTGAAGAGAACTGCCCAAACTGCCCGGGGATACGGCCAGATTACAATAGGGCCCGAGGAACCGGTGGCTCGAGGACAGGAACACGAGCCGACAATGTTGAACACTGAGGCTTTCTGAGGAAGGACGTCAGAAATAGGTGTGAAGGGATCTTTCAGAGGCGCCTCATGATAGCTAAGCTTCGCAACATGAAGCGGAGTGTCTTGCAAAGCTCGCAACGAGACCGGAGTGCCACGACCAGATCAATAGAAAACACCCTGACGGAGTCGAACTGCACAAACTATAGAGTTAGCCGACTTACATTGTAGATGGAGTTTCGCGGCTGGGGCACAATGGAGGAGACGGATGAGTTGACCACGATCTGGCCGCGGTTCTTCTGCAGATGCTCCAACGCGTGGTATGTCATGTAGACGTAACCCCAGAAATTGACGTCCTGAAAAATGTGATTTGAGACACTTGAGCGGCGGGTTGCGGAGAGATTCTTGCATCGGCAGCACGTCAGCAACTTGAACTGACGGGACTTCGAGGAACGTTCCAATATCTTAGCCCTACCATTAGACTTCTGAAAAGCAGGACTGGATCCCTGTTGGCATTTTGCGAGCTTTGCAAGTCTGAATGGTTAACACGAAGTGGGCCGTGTAAACGTATGCTCGAGAGTCAACGTCGTCGTGTAGGAAAATTGTCATCGAGTTTTGTAAGACGTGATTGTTACGTCTGAGTCAAGCACGTTGGCACACGTTAAAGTTGCGGGACCCGCTCAGCCTAGACCGCCCGTCTGTTAGTAGACTGTTCACATTCATGTTCCATTTTTTTCGACCATTTTTGCAATCTGTTCTGTTTCCTTTTCAATTCTGTTGCGACGCTGACAAACCGAGGACGACCAGGTACCGTTTTGCCGCAATAGTTGAAAACGTTCCATCCAAGGGGAGATTCTCAGGTTTAAGGAAAAACGGGCGGGGTGCATTCTTACCATGATGGAATCGAAGCGTTTCGTGTCGGTGGCGTCTGTGAAGAGATACGCATGGAACATCCCCGCGTTCAAGGCCAGGGTATCAACTGCATAAAGGATAGGGAAAGTAAAGTTAGAGAAAGCACCTATCGAGCAGTATGCCAAACGAAGCCTCTCTTGTGGGACGCATCTGAGTCCAACTTCATGGTGAATTTGGACCAGAATGTCAATCGAAGGCTGTTGACAAGCGGTAATGCCCAATCGAGAGCCGACTTGATCACTTAGCCGACTCTGCTACTCTTGCTTTTGTGGCCACCGATTTGAAGGCTTTTCAGAGAAATGCGTACGATGTGTTCTGCGAGAAAGCAAAGTGTACCGATAATGAGATTTCGCAAAGGCTGCCTGTACAGGTGAGCTCGTCAAACGAGGTCCAAACGGGGGTAGCTCGGGGTCAACAACCGCCCCAGGTAAAAATGGTTACAACCGCTTTCCATGCTCCGAGGACGGCCTTGCCTGTCCGCCCAAACCCAAACCTCGGTGGCCTTGAATAAAATCGGTCATCAGCAATGTCAGTTGGATTTTGTTTCTGGGCGGACGGGCCAACCGCACGCTCTAGGGACCTGGTTAAGAAAAATGCACCAGCCAGATTGGACTCTATCCATACATTGTTGACTGTCTGACCTGTTTCGTTCGTGAACCTAGGACCTTCAAGCGCTCTATAGATGTCCTTGAAGCGACCGAGCCGTCCAATTCTGTCAGATAGGTATCAGACATGCAGAGCATACCTTTCGGCCTTTAAGTAGATTTCTGACAAGAGAAGCTGGGTAACTCCATTGGAAACAAGAGAAGCTCAAGAAGCAAGGCTGAGGTCGAACGCCTGCTTACTCTTTTTGAAGTGCGCAAGTGCTGCGTCAACCGCTGCCTTACAGCCCTCTTCGGTTCCAAGGTCTTGCTCAATTACCAACACGTCTGGAGCACCCATCAACCTGCGGCACAAGTGCAACGACGTCATCATGATGCACCGCAGAAGGATCTGATCCTGTTGTCGAAGCCGGCAGAGGACTCAAGTAGATTGACGTGCACCATTAGGAATACAGACAACTGCCATGAGTAAGTAGATGTTGCAAGTCTTGACAATCAGCAAGGAATGCACATCTGTACCGTTTACCCTCCAATCCCATGTAATTGCAGACCATGTTCCACCATCTCTCCTCTCCCACTGGCAACTGTGATGAGTCATGCGTGTTCGGAAGGACCATCATGATTCCACCAGATCTGACCAAATATGGCCAAATGCTCCCCTTGACAAAAACCTATTCCCAGCAATACTTCTTAACGCTGTCAAACTGAGCCTTTCCTTCAACAGACGCACCTCTGAATGGTCTCTACCTGCACAATACTTCCTCGCAAAGTGTTTCCTCACTGTCCCGACAAAGAAACTGAGCTCTTACCTGGCTTCCTCGGCAACTTCCTCCAGCTTCTCCCCCCTCCGAGCCACCAGCCCCAACCGTGCGCCGAGACGTGCGTACTCGTATGCCATGTGCTCTCCAATACCTAAAATGTCAGTGCTTTGATTGCTCTGATTGCGATCTTGTCTAGCAGTCTGCATCAAGCTGCCCCATGTTAAACTGTGAATAAAAGGACTCAATTATACTGTGGTCAGGGATGGAATTCGCTTGTTAAAAGAGAGTCTGATCCCTGCGACTCGGCAGGCGGAAGAAGACCCCTTGCTAGACAAAAAAGAATTTTGTTCATGGGAGAATGCATCTTCATCTCAGAGATCCAAAGCGCAACTTCATAGGCCGCTATTTGTTCTGCAGTCTCGACTTGTGCTTTGCCGCTCCATACATGCATTATAGTCTGGTGTGCAGTCCTTGTGCGAATCAAGAACAAACAAGATCCATCTCTTGCAGCGTCTCACCTGATGAGGCTCCAGTAACCACGACCACCTTGTCCTTCATATCCAGAGGCTCCATCGTCAACGCCTTATATAAGCGGACCCCCCATACGGCCGGCAACACAACAACCAGCCCGGCTATCCCCAACGGATATGCGGTCACATTCAGAAGCTTGGTAGTTGCAGCCATCACTCTGTCGCCAAGTGTCGGCTCCACAGCAACTTTGTTTCTTGGCTTCTTCTTTTCAGGGGGATCCCCTCTGCCATTGCTTGCAGCCGCACGGATTGACTGCCTTTCTTCAGAGCTCAGGCGCGTTGTATGCTTTTTGCATGTGGCTGCTCTGAGTTGGGAACGCCTAAAGGTTCTCAAAAACGACTGGTCAGAGCTGGTGTGGCCTGGGATGACTAGCTGGGAGCAGCTCAAGCTGGCTTCAGCTGCTGAGATGGTAGACGGCCCACTTGGCTTGCAGCAGCTTTTCTGACGCAAAGACTTGCTCGAAGGGCAGGCTAAGGAAACCACGCCCATGTCACTCCGGTTCTGCAATCTTGCTGACGTTGATGACATCATCGCCGTGCATCTCAACGGCACCTGAGAGGTGCTTGCACTGCAAGCATTCATCTTCGTCTGCCTCAAGAACCCCAATTCAACAAGAGGTACTTGATCAGCACTTTGTAGATTAAGCTAGGAATAGGACCTTCTCTTCAAGTCCAACTGCGTCTTCGCTTCCTCTTCCAGGCCGTATTGCAATGCTGCGCTGACAAAAAACTGATTGGAAGAGCTGACCCCAATCCAGCCGTTGGCAAAGGAAGAGGAAGCCTGTAAGGATGCATGAGGCGCCTTTCCTCCAGCTCATTGTCCAGCTCGGCGCCCGGGCTGACGTGCGCTGCATGTCTTCCATCTTGCATGGCATGGCGCCTTTGCTCCTGGACCATGACAATGACACCCCAACTCTGGAGTAATGGAGACCACGTGGCGGACCAAAAAGGGACTCTGCAAAATCTGTTAAAGGTGAACCGTCCGATGATGGCTTCTGGTCAACCTGCGCGCGCGTCCATTGCTTCTGCTTCATCCGGTCATGTTAGGAAAGGTGTACCAACAAGCCAAGGTCGCTGGCACGCTGGTACCGTACAGTCTCAGCTTGTTGGCAGGTAGGTACCTGGTACGTCCATAGTTGCTGGCCAAGAAGCGGACTCATATCCTTTTCCTAATAAGATCCCCAGCTCAGGTACGGGGAATGAAAAGCTGCTCCAGTGCAGGGCTCACTGTACATACCTAGGTAATCGCCATTGGACCAACGATGGCAACAGGCTCTCAATGACCTGTTTTAGGCTTGTACCAGATTCTCATCAGAGCTGTATGTATTGCGGGACAGCTCAATTCAGCAGGAGGTCACCTAGCTCAGATTGAGCGAAACAACAACGATGGGAATGGTCACCCTGCGTCAGCCAGAATACTTCTGCAATATGGAGCTTTGGAGCTCATGAACAAACTGAAAGAATCAAGGGAATATGATCAGTGGATTCCTGCAGGATAGGTGCTAAGAGCTAGCTGGATAAGCTACAGGCTAATCACTCACAGAGGCTGCAAGGAAATGCACGCATGTGTTCGTGCACAGAAATTGTTGCAAAGAGACTTAAGTTGAAGAGCTTTGAGCCTGCCATGGTAGCCGTCCGACAACGCCTGGTGAGCTGCAGCTGTTCTATTGCAAGTGCACCGTCTCACCTTCAGGAGCTTGATCCGTGCAGGTTGCGGGAAAAAGCTTAAATGTGATTTGCTTTTTGGATAAGGAGTCTCTTGATATAGCTGGATGCTGGATGGTGAGCATTGCCCGCAGGGATTGAAAGGTAGGCTGATGAGATACGTGGACTGATTGAGGAGCCCAACTGCTGAACGGTACCGGCGTTTGCGGACCTATTCCACAATGCGCAAACACCCAGGCTCTGCAACAAGTTTGCGTAACAAATCACACGATGCCAATTTCACTGACCGAAAGTGGTGCTTTTTGGCAGGGACATGTACCACCCTTTGTCGCATGAGGCATGATCAAGATCAGGACTGGCTGCGGAAGTGGAGCATGTACAGAGAGCTAAAACAGCTGCAAAATCACCCCACAAAAGCCACTAATCGAAGCAAGCGCGCTTCATAAGAGCAGGTCTGACAGCCTCACAAAAGACAAAACTCACTTACTCCACAGAGAAAAGCGCACAGCCTGGGCTTCAGGCGCACATGAACCTTGTGCACCGTCTTGGCCTCTCATTATTCGTTTGAAATGTTAAGATAGAGCTTTTCAGCTCTCTAGGACACTGGCATGTAGCCAAAATAAGGACCTAGGTAGGTCTGCTACTCGTATTGCAGTATCCAGATTAGCAGAACCGAACAGATTGCCTGCGAGCAATTATGACAGCTCCTGCGGGGGGTTCAGGCAAGGGCAAGAAGCATGGAGGGGAGTGCGTCAAGGTGGTGGTGCGGTGTCGGCCGTTGGCGAGCAAAGAGATTGCAGATGGCCGCCAGCGCATTGTGGACATGGACTCGCAAACCGGACAGGTGAGCTCGCTGGCCTGCTGTGCTGCTCATTGTGCGTTGACATTCCAGTTCCATGTTGGCTTTCAGATTGTCATGGTAGAGTACACTCCAAGCACGCAATTTCTACTTCAATACTCCCTCCTGAAGTTCTCAGTAAGTAGAAACCCCACTCTTACAGCAACGTGATGTACTTCAAATGAGTTAGGTCTCGGCCGTATACTGTTCTTAGCAACGCACCTTCCTCAAAGAGAATGTCAACAGTGCAATTTTGCAAGTGGTGCCCTATCTTGTTGCGTCCCCAAGCTCGACGCAATCTGACAATTTGTCCACAGTCACTGCAACCTCTGTACGTGCCCAAACTTTCAGGAGAGGAGATTCTAGAAAATTTTATGGCAGACATTTTCGACCGCAGTTCTGCTTCAACAGGAAAGGGGAATACAGAAAAGCAGTGATCACAAGAAGAGTCAAAGGTTTTGAATCTGCTCTGTGACAGCCTGAAAGGGTCTTGCTTGTTCAAGTCTCCTGCTTATGTCTGAGTCCCGTGCTCGCAAATAGCACCTTTGCTTCACTCAGACCGCCTCAGGTTCTAGTATATTTTATTCCCGGGTTCATAGATCAGTATGGCTACAGAAATGAAGCTGTTTCCTTAACCGCAGGTCACGGTGCGGAACCCGAAAATGGACCTCAAGGAGCCCCCCAAGGCGTTCACCTTTGACCAAGTCTTCGACTGGAACAGCACCCAGGAGCAGGTCTACGAGGACGCTGCCAAGCCGATTGTGATCAGCGTGTTGGAAGGATACAACGGAACGGTCTTTGCGTATGGTCAGACAGGGACGGGGAAGACGCATACCATGGAGGGAAGGGACGAGCCAGGTAAGACTTGCTTGTTGGAAAAATTCCTCTCATACGCTGAGAAGGGAATCGGTAAATGAAGCAGTGACGGATGTCCAAAGGGGCATCAACGAAACCCATTTAAAGCCAGGAGTTGAAGCTCCACAGCCACGCGCTCACTGGTTTAGCATTTTGCTCGCCCATTTACACAGCGCATTCTTCTCTACCACGCACGAATCAAAAGAGACGACTGCTGATTTCTTAAGTCGGAGGATGTTGAAAGCCTGTACTCTTTGAGCCGCAGGCTAATCTCCGCTGCATGACCGCCCTTTCATTGGATCGGAATGCTCTTTAACTGCTCTTTAACGTCTATCTGTTACTTTTTACAATGGACTGGCGCATGCTTTGAACTCCTCTTGACTTCCTTTCCTTCACTTTGCGCAGCGGACCAGCGCGGCATCATCCCAAACGCCTTCGAGCACATTTTTGCCGAGATCGCGCAAACCGAGGGCACGGAATTCCTCGTCCGGGCGTCGTTTCTGGAGATCTATAACGAAGAGATTCGGGACTTGCTGGCGAAGAACCCGAACAACAAGCTCGAATTGAAGGAGAGCGTCGAGACGGGGGTTTACGTCAAGGACTTAACCAGCTTCGTGGTTAAGGGGGTTCAAGAGATCCGGAACGTGCTGCTGGTCGGGAAGAAGAACCGGACGGTCGGGGCGACCCTGATGAACCAGGTGGGTGAATGAGTGCGTCCGGTTGAAAAGAACATGCTCAAGTTTAAACAGAAGCTTCCCCTACTCGCAGGAAAGGTTGACTTGTCGATCAGGAGCACGCCCTGCCTTTGTAGAGAGAGACTCGCGCTCAAAGACGTGTATCCGATTCAGCGGGATCCCTTCAGCAGCGGGCTTGGCAACCGAGTGAAAGACCAGAACTGCCACCTGTTCGTTATCTTGGTGAAGCCAGTAACATACCAACTCGCTATCCAGTTTGTGCGAGTACGCGACTGAGTCTCTGACCTTACTAAACAACCAGCTTCTGTTCTGACAGCCCTTGCAAAGTGGAGTCATCGGCCCAATGCTGGTCCGAAAGGACCGATCAGCGGGTGTGTTGAGTCTGACCCCACAAGCATGTTGTGAATAACCTACCAGCCATCACCAAGAGCTGAGACCTGTGAACAAATAAATTTGTGGAGCACTTTTCCAGACAGGCCTCTGAATGCAAACACCTACCACCGCTCCCCGGTTCCAGGACTCGTCCCGGTCGCACTCCATCTTTTCGATCACCATCGAAACCAGCACGCACATCAAGGCAGGGCCCAAAGACGACGGGCCGACCATTCGCGTGGGGAAGCTGAACCTGGTGGATCTCGCGGGGAGCGAGCGGCAGGGCAAAACGGGGGCCACGGGTGAGCGCCACGTGGCAGGGTCCCAATCGTTGGTAGAAGAAGGCAGCCGTCAGGGCGCGTTTTGATTTCACGACTGCTTGCGCCGACTGACTTGTGTGGAGCAACATTCAGAAACTGTGCACCAGATCCTTCCGCGCTGCATTCCGCTTACAAAGAAAGGCTCGCTAGCGGATGTCAATCCTTTCGTCGTGTTCACTCTGTCCCTGAGCAGGGATTGTAGTCAGAGACGGCGAATCTGAGAATCGAAAATAAAGACCTTCAGGAATTTGGGACTCCGACTTGGATTCCACCGTCTCAGATTCCCCGACGAGGCCCTAATAAGGTATGTAGAGACAGATGCTCTTCCTACCTTACCAGGTGACCGGTTGAAGGAAGCGACCAACATCAACTGGTCGCTGTCTGCGCTCGGCAACGTCATTAGCGCTCTTGTCGATGGGAAGAGTGGGCACATCCCGTACCGAGACAGCAAGCTCACGCGGCTGCTCCAGGACAGTCTCGGGGGTGAGTTTGCTAGACTTTGGGCATTCTCTTGTTCTCAGAAATATTTTATTCTCACCAATAGCTACAGTGACGGAGAGTCTTCTTTGTCTCATCGGCACATTTGTTCCGCGAAATGGGTGGCCGAGGTCTAGGTTGGACGATTGAAAGTACTTCCAGTTGCGGCAGCGATTCCGTTTATTGCGTCGGCCATCCGGCAACTGGAAAGACGTGAAGATTAGTTGACCTCCCAATCAAGCATCACCTCGACTTCGTACTTGATTCCTTGTACAAAGTTCGTACGCTCAATGGCTAGTTTTTCGGCTGCCTAAATGCTTACCCAGCCTCACGATCCAGCAAGCATCTCGGTGTTCTCCTTTTTCACAAAAGACAACCCAGCAAGCAGAGATTCTGAACACAGGACAGACTGACCACTGGAGCTCAAACTCAGGCAACAGCAAGCCGCTCACGGTCGCCGATCTAGGCCCTACGGATACTACTTGAAAAGCCCCCGTAAAAAGTGCAGGTTGATGTTTTGGTGTTAAAAAGCTGAGCCTGACGCCAAGTGTGTCACAGGTAACACCAAGACGGTGATGGTCGCCAACCTGGGCCCCGCAGACTACAACTTCGACGAGACGGTGAGCACGCTGCGGTACGCGAACCGCGCGAAGAACATCAAGAACAAGCCGCGCATCAACGAGGACCCCAAGGACGCCATGCTGCGCGAGTTCCAGGAGGAGATCGCGCGGTGAGCGCCGGTTCCACTTTGGCATTTTGCTATTTCTGCACCAGCAGAACTGTTGTTACGCGTTACGAAGGTAACTTTAGGAAGGGTCACAAAATGCGTTGTCGTGGTTGCAAAGACAAGTTGTGCGGCGAGAGTAGCTCCTTTGTGTAGGGTTCGCTGGGCAATGCAAGGGGGCCTTTATGGACCTCGTAAGGGGTTGACAGGAGCTTGGGAGGTTGTATTTAGGGGTGATTACGATGGGACAAGCAGCTGAGATTCCAAAGTCATCGCGGGCTGAGATCAGCAGCCCGGTGGCGGATCAGACCCGGCGGACAAGTCTTGGCGGAATCTTCAACTTACAGAAAACTTCCAAAAACGGTACAGAAAACTTCCAGAAACGGAAGCTGATTCTGCCTCGCTTCTCGCCCTCTCCAGGTTGAAGAGCCAGCTTCAGCAGTCCGGCGGCGGCGCGGGCCCCAGCGGACGGATCTCGGACGGAGAGATGAGCGACGAGCGGATCGCGCACATCAAGGAGCAGATGCGGAAGGAAATGGAGAGCGGGCTGAACAAGGGGGCGAGCGAAGAAGCGATGGCAAAAATGCGAGATGAGATCGAGAGGAAAGCGCGGGAAGAGATGGAGAGTATGATGAAAGAGCGGGAGCGGACGGAGGAAGAGAAAAAGCGGATAGCGCAGGTAAAGTTACGATTCTCCCATTTTACGATATCCATCTCTGAAGGATTAATGTACATATATCTGCGCTGTTGGCATGGGCGGATGCTGCCATAAGAGACGGCACTTTCCGTGTTATGGAAAGTTACTCTCAACGACGGAGGATCTGCCGCCCAGAGCAATGTTGAGATCGAAGGCGTGGTGCTGTTTGTCGATACTGCAGACCTAAAACGCTCAATGCCCAACAAGACCAACTCCGATCGTAGAGACTTCCATTCAAGTCAACTACAAGCTCTGTATCCTATCCTATTGTTTCAACACGCGGGCTGCCGCGGAGCCTGGCGGCCCTCCAAGTAAGGAAAGGTCCACCCACGACGATTCGGCCGCCGAAGAATGCTTTTGCACTGCCACTCCAGTTTCTTCTGAAGACCTTGTTACGTTTCGTGTTCGCAGGACTTGGACTGGCAGCTTAGAGGTCGAATGGTTGACAGGGTTTATTTCTGGATCTAACTCTTCTATCCAAATTATAGAGTTACCGTCTCCTTAAGCGTTCAGATTTTGTTACTCTTTGCAGGCTGCTGACCCGCTTCCATTCCGCCTCCAAGTTGGCCACAGCGCTTTGATTGCGTTGGATTAAGCTTTCGCTTTACGTTCCGGTTCGGATCCGCAGAAGTTGAACCAGCAGCAGGAGCTGTAGATACAGCGGCATTAAGAGGAGCTCGGGAAAGAGAAGCGGCAGTCAATCCTTCTTCAAACATTGATTTTTTCTGAAATTGGCATTAGCGCATTGTTCCGTCTCTGAAGCTTTCCGTTCCGGTTCCGTTCCGCAGGAGCTGGACCGGCAGCACGAAGAGATGCAGCGGCACTACGAGGAGCTGGCGAACGAGAAGCGGCAACGGGACGAGCTCGCGCGCAAGCTGAAGGCGATGGAGGATAAGCTATTGCACGGAACTAGCAACGGCGAGAACCTGCTCGACAAGGCGGAACGGTTCGAGCGGGAGCTGCAGCAGAAAGAGGCGGAACTCGCGGAAAAGCGGCGAATCGACGAAGAGAAGCAGCGGAAGATCGCGGAACTAGAGGTGAGGGATCAGGTGGAGGCTGAGAAGAATGGACGATCTAGACCGGCGGTAAACGGGGAAAGAAAGCTTCACGAGAGTGCATTCCTGGGCGGAAGTCCACTGGATAGGCAGAAGGCCGAGCTGAAACAAAGCGTTCCTCTCCAGAAAAAGCGACCATCAGCATTGGGCATGTTATAAGATCGTTTAAACTCATGGGAAGCCTGAACGTAACTCATTCCCGCTTTATTGTACGTCTTTCGGATCCACCTACACCTGGTCGAGGCTGCAAAAGACCCGAAAAGACCAGGTCTTTGCAGAGTGTGCGAAGCTCTCTTCAGACACCCAACCTCACGTCACTGTTTCCCACGTCACTTACACTCGCTGACATCATGCACTGACGTCACGCTCCGGTTTTCTTCGTCGCAGGACGCCCAACTGACGGCGGAAGAGCGGTACTCTAGCCTGGCAGACGAGATCGACTCGAAGACCAAAAAGCTGAAACGAGCGATTGCGAAGTACCAAGGGGCCAAAGCGGAGGTGGAACAGGCGCACCGAGAGATGCAGGAGTTGAACGAAGAGTTTCAGCGCGAGCGAGAAGATCTGCTGGATTCCATACGCGCGCTAGACCAACAGCTGCGGCTCAAGAACCTTATTATCGAGGTGAGACTTTGGCGCCAGGACGTTTCAACATGTCCCACAGAGTACAAGCTTCCGCTGTCGGTTGTTACAGCTGCTTGAACGAGCTCATTGGTTTTGCCGCAATAAGATGTGCTTGGCCCTTTAGGTTACAATTTATGATCGAGCTTTTGTCGCTCTTAGTCGTTGATATCAAGCGGCAGCTGCTTCTGAGCCTCTTACGTGGTGGTGTCAAACGAAAAATCCCCCTCACTACGCTTTGTGATGTCTCCCTTCTTGGAGCTTTGTCCCGACAAGAACAGTGAAGCAGCTCGCCATGCAATCTCTTCCTCATCACAATTGGTTATTCTTGCTATATCCGGAAGCGCTGGAACGGTCTTCCTTTCGTTAAGCAAAGCGCTTTTCGCCCGCAGAGCTTCGTTCCGCCGGAAGAGGTGAACAAAATCATGCGGCGCGCGCACTGGGACGAGGACCATGAGCGGTGGATTTTGGAGGGGGTGCAGTACGCAGGGAATAATGCGAAAGCGAAGCGGCCCATATCCGCAGCGGGGCAGCGGCGACCAATCTCTGACTACGCCCGCATCGCGGTTGCCATGGGGGAAAACAACCCGCGCTTCAAGTAAGATTCATGCATATCAGTGCGATTTGACCAGATTGAGAACAGAGTTTCCCCGAGGTTCGAGGGACTCAGCCGCTCATCGAAGCGCCAATTGGCGCGGACTTAAGATTCTGGTTTTGTTCTTTCAAGATTGCCTGTTTGGCTCAGATATAGGTTACCCGTTCAAGAAGACATGGAGGCACGTTCAACCCTGAGCTTTCGCTCGGGAGGGACTCACAAGCGCGGATCTGTACGCCAGGGACGGGGATTAACCGGCAACTCTGTAAATCAGATATAACTAAGATTGACTGTAATCTGAACGTTCACATCGAAGTTGAGACGCCTTCAAACGTATTAAATTCACGCAGCTGCACTTGAAGAACTTGCATCCAGTGCCCCACGATGGCAGATATCCGTTTGATGAAGGCTTTTGGATTTCAAGCTGCTCCGCTTGGCAGGATTTCGCTGTCCAACGCCGTTGCGGCGCTCTCAGCCGTAGGCTTCTGATGCGGTCACAACTAACGCTCACGTTCCGTTGGCCAGGGCGGAAAACATTTTGACGATGGAGTTGGACATGCCGGAACGGACGACGTACGACTACGACGGCGGGCCGGGCAACGCGCGCGTGCAGGCGACGCTCAACCACGCGTTTGCGGACGATGGGGAGCAGCTGTTTTCGGACACCTTGCAGAGCGCGTATCTGTCGTACGATGACGGGGACTCGGCGGACAAGAAGCGCGCGGCGAGTAGGGCGGCCGCGCGGCCCAAGTCGGCGCGCCCGAAGTCGGGGCGGCCAAAGACGGCGGCTCGGTCGTGAGAAGGGAGTAGAAAGAGGCAGAGTATGTTTCTTGTTTGCACAGTTTCAGATTGCTTGCACGCGACTCATTGAAGCTGCTTGCCCGTTTGCATAGGCCTACGGTTTGCGGACAAGACCCATTTAGGTCCGTGAGTGTAAAAAATGCGCGAGAGTCGTTGGGCAATAAGAAGTGTCATCTGACGAAGAACCCCTCTCAGAGAACGGCAATCGCCTCGTAGGTTTGTGCTTGCACCCAAAGGGACGTCACAAAACTTCTCCGATCGACTGGGCTCGCGTAAAAGCGATTCGCATCTGATGGAGTGAGCTTCCGCAAGGCCCCACAAAGGATTTCGAGGGCAAGGCTACCTCCTCTGTGCCCTCTTTCCTCTAATTCTGAAACTGACAATGAAGGATGATCGAAGTCCTAACTGAGGGGGGCGCGATCCGTAATAGCGGGGTATGATATCAAGCAAACGTATCACTGCTTTCAAGGGAGCTGAAACGCTGATGCCGCAAATACAAACATGCTATTCCGTGCATTTGTATGTTTACTCTTTGAAACCGCAGCTAGTACCGGCATGACTGACATCAAGTTCGAGAGCGGAAACGGTACATTCCTAGTCAACCGATAAGCCAGGATCGCGTGACAAGGATTCCATGCCATCGGCTGTAGCGTCAACAGCCGGCATGCCGCGATATCTGTCCATGCTTGAAATGGAAATCTAACCAATGGGTCATGCTGCAACCGAGTTCGATTCAAGATACCAAGATTAGCGCAATCCTATAATGGCAACGGAGATGTTCTGTTAGCGAAGTGCTCGCGATACGGCTTTCGAGATTTTTCGTGGCGACTACTCACGGTTCAATGTCGAATTGGATACACAGTTCAATGTCGAATGAGCATATAAACACTCGATTTATTGCCCAACATGATACAATTTCTACTTTACAAGGCGGCCCCGCGCTCTAGAGATTGCAAACCCTCCGGAACAAACTTTATCACACGTGGGTAACTGCAAATGTACAACGTCCCACCCACATGGCATTCACTGCCTGATTCCTCGTTCTTCATAATTCACGCTCTTCAGCAGCCAGTCACGTTACTGGGCGCCGTACCACAGTTGGGCAGGCAGATCCCGATGAAGTTCTGCGCGGTGATGGGGTGAAGTCGGGGCTCCGCCGCAGCCGGCCGCGCAGTGGTACCCGAGGAAGCAGTCGAAGTCCGAGTTGCAGCCCTGAGTGCATGCAGCGCACGGCACGATGGCCTGGCAGACGGTCTGTCAGAGTCATACCTAGTACACGTTTGTGACAACCTTGGAAGAACGAGGCTTCGAGAATATTGAGAACGCGTCAATCTGCGTCACCCAAGATTTGATCCTCGAATGCCTGCAAACGTCGTACATCTCTCGCTGAGGTTAGATCGGCACCTCTTTCCTACAAGAACATCTGCATGCTGCGTCACCATCGTTGGCTCCTGCCAAAAAACATTGCTAACGAAAGTCGCCTTGGACGCTAGCTGGAATGCTGATCCGGCTGACGTCAAGTCTGGCGCTTAGGGCAACGGACGGCGCGCGTGTTCAGCATGGCATTTTGGTCGGCTTGCTGACGTCACTGCGGATGCCTCCTCGCATGCCCGCTTTGGCGAGAGTCTTGGTGCGACAATCCGTAAGTGGCGAGGCCATCGACAAATCAGGCAAGCTTGATCTGCCCGCAGCGGCGATCCGAGAATTAGTATGGCGCAGTCGAAGTCAATCCGAGGATAAGAACGCCGCAGAAGAGAGCTCGCTTTTGCACTTTGAAACAACGATGGGCGGACTGCCTGCGTAAGCCTCGAAACCCGTTGACCGCTGCTCCATAAGTCTGTTCCACCCGATCCCACCGAACCACGAAGTTGGTCGCAAGCTTGCAGATGCACAGTACAACTCATTGAGGTCTGACATTAACGGCCCCTTACGGCCATACCAATCTTGATGAGTCTTTCGTTCTATCAATTCTCTTCACTTCTTCGCGGAAACCCTTTGGCCTCTTTACCGCCGCAAGTAAAATTGAAGGCGCCACCCGTTCAGAGTTTTTTTCCGGCGGCCGGTCCTTGTCTGCGGAGATGGGGCTCACGTCATCGCCGCTTCCAGTGTTCCTCTGCATCATCATGCTGGTTGCGCTCGATGCAAAAGTAAGGAGGAGCTGGCGCTTGACGTTTTAGTTCTTTCGAAAGGTCTCGACCATTTATTTTTCAAAAAGCACCGTCCGCGTCTTCCTCGTTGAGGAGCCAGGCTGAAATGCTCAGTGTTTCGGGTTTCGCCTCTCAGTTTTGTGCTTGCCGGCTCTCTCAGACGTTTGTGTTCAGAACAGTTTTGAATGCCTTAACACGTCTTTATCCATGTCTAGGTGTTCGCGTCCCCTCCTGGGCAGGACTTCCGCCCAAGCGGGCGGAAGATCCGTGGCGGAATGGACACCATGCAGTCGCAGCGCCAATTGCTGCAGATCGGTGAGTCGACTGCCATGTCTCATCTGACTGTGCAATCCAGATCTAGGCCAGACCGATCGGCGCACTTTCCGTTAGCAAGTGAGGTCGGCGCTTCACGCCGACTCGATCAATCTGGTCTTGATCTTCGATTTCAAGGGCTTCTTTCAACTGGTTTTGTGTAGAGCCATTCAGTACGTGCCCTTCTTTTCCTATCGCATGGTCTACTACTCCGCTCGTTAGCTACCAAATTTGATGCTTTCAAGCACGTACCCGCGTGGGCGGAAGCTTCTAAAGGGAGATATTGACAGATTGTAACAATAGCCCCGGTCGGTCCCCTGTTAAAGTCATATATTCGTTTTATTGCCCGGATTTTCTGCTATAGCGTGCATATGGTGACGTTCCAAATCCAAGATGTGCTTCCCATGTGCTGAGACGGCTTCTTTTAGCCGACAACGATGTCCGATTTCACCCAGCGCTGTTTCATCAGGCGGATAAGATCTGGGTGTACTGCTCCACGGCCCGTAATCCCAAGCATGACGATGAAGAGAGTCCGTGAACATTTATGAGGAAACGTAAATTGCAGCCGTATGGCATTCCTTCTGCTTGACCTCGATTCATTGGGCCCGTCTGTCATTCCTTCTGCTTGACTTCAATTCTTTGGGGCCGTCTGTCAGATCTTTTGCGGACCTCGAACCCGGACGCCAGATCTGGAAAGGGGTGCTTGCCGAATGGTGACGTCCACGTCGATCTTCTTATTCGCTGTTGCAGCTGGTGGAGTGGCGTCCACATGCCCTGCCAGAGACGTGATGACGCGTCCCTCAGTGCAAGTAACGTGTGGTTACGTTCTTGCGGACGCTTCGAGTGGAGAGACTCAAGCGATCCTGACTTGCAACTACAATACAAAAGGGAATCTCACGAACTCTGAGACCAATATTCAGCCACGAGTGGGAACAGAGGCTCACAATACAACCATGAACCTAGCCTTCCCTGGCACCTCCTGCCCAAGTAAGCCAAACTATTTATCCTTACCCTGGTACCTGCTTACCTCTCTTGTCAACTTCTTGAAACTGAATGAGTCCGTCGATCCGAAGTCACAGTTAATCTCAACAGGGGCCTGTCCATTGCAGTTTCAATGATGTGTGTCTTCAAAACCCAAACTATCTAAATGTCCATTGTGGGTTTTGCTACAAATCTATCACTGCGCTTTATGTCCCCTTGACCTTGCTAACGTGCACGATAACAACCGAGATCCCTTAGGTTATTAACCCGTCCAAGATTGATCATGTACCACCTGCAAAGCGTTCCGCCTCCGAGGCACCCTGCTCTCCAATGCTGAAGTCCCCGAGCTTTCTTTGATCGTGAAGAATTTGTTTTCCAAATGCCTGTCTCTCAAATCTTGTTTGTGAACCTCCTTGTGGCAGGAGTCACGCCGT